GTCGGTTTGTGGGTGGGGATCTAGGTTGTGGGGGTAGGGGGTGGGTTGGTGGGTGGGGATCTGGGTTGTGGGGGCAGGGGGTGGGTTGCAGTGGTGGGTGTTTCGTGGGTGGGGATCTGGGTTGTGGTGGCAGGTTAAGGTTGTAGATCTGGTGGTTTAAGGTGGTGGTGTACGATGGTGGGCTGGTGGGTTTAGGTTTCGGTTTTTTTTTTTTTTCGGTGGTTTCCGACGGAATTTCCGTCGGAAATTTCTGAGGGATTTGACTCCGTCGGAAGTTTCTGACGAACTTTGCTGGTGCTGGAAAACCACTTCCGAGACTTGAATTCCGTCGATAGTTCCGTCGGAAGACGTCTTTACGACGAAAATTTCGTAGGAAAAGGTCATTTTTCCTATGAATGCTGTTACGACGCCACCTTCCTTCGGAAACAACGATTTCAGACGGAAAATAGGGTGTTTCCAACGGAATTTTGCCTTCTAAAATGGGCTGTTTTCTAGTAGTGAATATTTGTTAAAAATCATAATATATATTAGGTATTATCTTTAAAACTCTTGAAATTTCTAAAAATATGGATTTCCCTTTAAAAGATAATTAAACCAATATTATTAATTTAGATATCGAAAATAATTAATTATTCAAATGATTAAATACTTATATTTGGCTCCAAAATTTAAAATTCATTTTGGCTCCAAATTAAATAATTCAAGAAATTATTAAAACATTTTTCCCAAAATTCGGGGTATTACAGTCTACCCCCCTTAAAAGAATTTTTGTCCCGAAACTTAGAAACATTTAATACCTTAAATTAATACTCCGAATTATCTTGAAGTAGTTATAATTTAGTAAGTTCATGCACACCCTAAGAACTTGACTCAAAAGACTCACTTAAAGAAATAAAAAGAAAAGCGCGAAACTCTATCACATTCTTCCCCACTTAAAAGGAAGTTACGTTCCCGTAACTTAACCACTCACCATGAAAAGGTTAGGGTACTTTTTACGCATTTCTGCCTCAGCCTCCCAAGTTGCTTCTTCAACCTTATGGTTTGATCATGGAACCTTATCTATCTTCACATCATTGTTTCTGGTGCTTCCAACTTTACTGTCCAAAATTCTCACTGGTCTTTCTTCATAAGTCAAACTCTCATCTAGCTTAATTGCCTTCGGTTCTAGCACATGTGTAACATCAGGAATATACTTGCGAATCTGACTCACATGAAAACATTGTGCACCCTTTCCAACTCGTTGGGTAAGTCCAATTTATATGCTACTTTCCCAACTTTCTGAAGAATCTCATATGGCCCAATGTATTTTGGGCTTAATTTTCCCTTCTTGCCAAATCTGATTACTCCCTTCATAGGGGATATTTTCAATAAAACCTTCTCTCCAACTTGAAAATCTACATCTCTACGCTTCTCATCAGCGTAACTCTTTTCTCTATCTTGGGTTGCTTTGATTTTCTCCTAGATCAACTTGACTTTCTTAATAGTGTCCTCGATCATTTCAGGCCCAAGGACAACGGTTTCACTTATATCACTCCAATAAACTAGGCTCCTACATTTCTTTCCATACAGGGCTTCAAATGGGGCCATTCCAATGCTTGCATGGTAACTATTATTGTATGAAAACTCAATCAAGTCTAAGTGATCTTCCCATGAACCTTGATACTCCAATACACATGCTCTCAACATGTCTTCCAAGGTCTGTATTGTCCTTTCAGTCTGACAATCAATTGCGGGGTGAAAGGTTGTACTCATCAATAACTTAGTTCCATGGCCTTTTGTAAACTTTGCCAGAAGTTAGACAGGAACCTCGAATCACGATCTGAAATGATATCTGTAGGCACCCCATGGTACTTCACCACAAACTTCACAAATGCCCTTCCTAACTGATCCATAGACCAAGTGCTTTTCATAGGTATAAAGGTTGCAGACTTAGTCAATCGATCCACAATAACCCTAATAGTTTCATTTCCTGCCCTGGTCCTTGGTAATGCCCCCACGAAGTCCATAGAGATCGAATCACACTTCCACTTTGGTACTTCTAGAGGTTGAACCATTCCTTGCGGCCTTCGATGCTCGATTTTCACCTTCTGACAAGTTAAGCATTTTGCCACAAACTCTGCTACATCTCTCTTCATGTTTGGCCACAAAAAGGCCTTCTTCATATCCTTATACAACTTATCCCCTCCAGGATGTATTGAGTAAGGAGAACTATGGGCCTCCTCCATCAGTCTTTGTTTGATGTCCCCACGATGTTGTGGAACACATCATCTCCCTTTGAAGAGAATACTTCCCTCATCTGTAACGGTAAAGTCCAAAACCTGTCCATCCTCAATCTTCTCTTATATCGCCTTCAACTTCGAGTCTCCCAATTGGCTTTCCCTAATCTCATCATAAATAGAAGGTTGCACTGCCAAGGTATTCAACATCTTGATGACCTCCACGTGCTCCACCACTTCCAAATTCATCTTCTCAAATTCTACACATAGCTGGTCAGGCAAAATTATCACATTCATCGAATGACTGGTTTTCCTACTTAAAGCATCAGCTACCACATTAGCTTTCCCCTCATGATATTGGTTATTCACACTATAATCTGTCATAAACTCCAACCATCGTCTCTGCCTTGAGTTCAAGTACTGCTAAGTGAAATTGTATTTTAGACTCTGATGATCTGTGAGGATTTTACAAGTTACCCCATATAGATAATGTCTCCAAATTTTCAAAGCAAATACAATCGCAGGTAATTCCAAGTCATGGGTTGGATAGTTCACCTCATGCGATTTCAACTGTCTCGAAGCATGTGCAATGACCCTCCGATTCTGCGTTAAAACATAACCCAATCCAAACTTCGATGCATCACTATACACCTCATATTGCCCATTTCATTTGGCAAAGCTAACACTGGTGCCGAGGTTAACTTGTCTTTCAAGGTCTGAAATGCCTGTTCAGACTCCTGGGTCCAAATGAACTTACATTCCTTCTTCATCAAGTTCGTCATGGGCCTCGCAAACCTCGAAAAATCCTTCACAAATCTCCGATAATAGCCTGCAAATCCCAAGAAACTCCGAACATCTGACACACTCTTAGGTGTTGGCCATTCACTTACTGCATTAACTTTTGCGAGATCTATTGAAACCCCCTCCTTAGAAATCACATGACCCAAAAAGGCTACTTTTTCCAACCAAAACTCACATTTCGATAGCTTGGCATACAACTGGTGTTCCCTTAAGGTTAACAATACTTTCCTCAAATGGTCCCCATGTTCCTCCCTATTCTTGGAATAGATCAAGATATCATCAATGAAAACCACCACAAACTTATCCAAATATGGCCTAAAGATTCGATTCATCAAATCCATGAACACTGCACGTGCATTAGTTAACCCAAATGGCATAATTGTGAACTCATAATGACCATAACGAGTCCTAAAAGCAATTTTTGGAATGTCTTGCTCTGCATCTGCAATCCTCAACTGATGGTACCCTGACCTCAAATCAATCTTGGAAAATATTCCAGCCCCTTTTAACTGATCAAGCAAATCATCAATTCTAGGCAAAGGATACCTATTCTTGATTGTCACATTATTCAAGTCCCAAAAGTCTATGCATAACCTCAAACTTCCATCCTTCTTTTTCACAAATAGCACCGGAGCTCCCCATGGAGAAGAACTAGGTCGAATATATCCCTTGTCCAACAAATCATCTAACTGAGTTTTCAGTTCCTTCATCTCAGCTGGAGCCATCCTATATGGAGCCTTTGAAATAGGTCCAGTCCCCGGAACTAAGTCAATGGTGAACTCAACATCCCTTACTGGTGGCATACCTGGTATCTCATCAGGAAAGACGTCTGGAAATTCTTCAACTATTGGAATACTCTCATTCTTCTTATCTTCCTTTCCCACTTCCTAAACACTACACATGTAAAGAGGATAACCCTTCCTGACACAGTTCCGAAATTGCAAGGCATAAATGATTTTGATCCCTGAACTATTCCCTTCCTTCCTATAGGTCACCGTCACTTTACCTGGACCTAACAGTTTCACTTTCTGAGAAGCACAATCTATGTGAGCCTTATACTTTCCCAGCCAGTCCATCCCTAAAACCATATCAAGGTCTTGTGACTCAAACTCAACCAAATATAAAGGAAATTCTACTCCGACTATGGTGATAGGTACCCCTTTATATAACTTAGAACAATTCCTCACTTCCCCAGTTGGAATAGAAACATCTAGAGACACTAAAAATGGGCTCTCTAATTTTAATCTCTAGACTAGAGATTTTGAAACAAAAGAAAGAGACGCACCCGAATCAAACAGGCCTCTAGCATTCAAAGAACAAACAAGGAAAGTGCCAATTACCACATCATTAGAAGCCTCAGCCTCACGACGACTCATCACGAACACTCGACCCTTAGGAGTCGTTCCTGCACCGCCACTAGTTCCATTCCTCTGAGCTAATCCATTGGTCTGGGGTGGTTTTGGTGGGTTTTTAGCCTCTTGGACTTTCCCATCTTAACATCCTTTTCCTTAGTAAAACACTCATACTCTCGATGCCCTAGTTTCTGACAGTAATGACAAGTCACCGATTTTCCCTCACAGTCCTTCCCTAGGTGGTTTTTCTCACATCTTTTACAAAAATAACTTCTCTTAGGTCTGGTGTTATTTCCATTCACACGATTATTATTTCCCTGTCCGTAATCTCCCTTCCCTAGGTTTCCCTTGGTGTCCCTCCTGTTGAATTGCCCATTTCCCCCATAACTCTCCCCAATCCTAGGCCACTTATCAACTCCATGTGCACCCCCATCACTCTTCCTTTTCCCTCCAGCTGAGTTCTCTAACTCTCTCCCCCGGATCCCATATAGGTGGGCAGCTCTCCCATAGACTTCATCTAACGTTTCAAAGGTTACCCCTCCCAACTTTCCATGAAGGCTTAAGGTCAAGCCTTGCTCGAACCTTTGGGCTTTCAATTCCTCCGTGGGCACTACTTCCGGTGCAAACCTCATTAACTCAATGAATTTTTATAATATTCATTGATGTTCATGTTCCCCATCATTAGGTTGGTAAACTCCATGCATTTCAGCTTTTTCAGGTAGGCGGGGTAAAACTTGTCTCTTATCGCCTTCTTCAGATCTTTCCATCCAAAGTCAAGGGTTTCTAAAAGCGTATCCCGGTTTTGACTCCACCACAGGTCAGCTTCTTCCCTCAAGTAATACGCAACATTGTTAACCTTTAATTCTTCAGGACAGTTAATGGCATCAAACAGCTTGTCAAATTCCCTTATCCAATTCTCTAAACTAGTGAGATCCTCCTTTCCAAGGTAAGTGGATGGTTTTGCAGCTGCCACCCTCTTAAAAACTTCCCCAAACTGATCTAAGTCGTTGCTACGGTTCCCTTGACTCACTAGTTGGCTCATGTTTTCAGCAATGGTAGTTAGCTTTCTAAGAGTAGCGCTCACTTTGGAACCAGTGCGTCTACTATTTTCGGCTCTCAAAGACATCCGGAACAACTTGGAATAACAGATACACATTATAATATGTAAAGAAAACTTCATGGAACTTTTTATTAATTATTAAAACTTCATACTTAGCCATAGGATTTAAAACAAATAATGTATCTAAGAATTCATAAGGGCCACTATTTGGCTTATAAGACAAACAAAACAACTTGCTATTAATGGTAGAAATTAAATAATTGCTATTTTGAAGTTCTAGTCTTTCTCTTGGCTTGTTGGATCATCTTTTTAGACCACGTCACCCGTGTTTCCAGTGGAAAGCTGAGGGGAATAAGGATCTAAAGGTTTGGGCATGTAGGTTGGGTTTTGGTGAAGTTCAAGCAAAAAGGTGGGATTATACTCACTATAGGATGGGCTACGACACGAGCCATAGCTAGAATTACGATTTGGGCTAGCATATGGGCTAGGGTTACGGTTTGAAAAGTAGTTTGGGCTAGATACTTGACTTCTTGGAACATGAGGTTTGGGGGAATGAGGTGGAGATTCAAAGTAATTTTGGGTGAGGTATTTCTAAGTCATCAGATGATGTATAGTCGAGATGCAAATGTGGAGGTGGTAAGGGTGGCATATCATGTTTTAGATTATTTAAGGTTTCTACTACTTGTGGTGTAAGTTGAAGAGGGATTTCAGGAACTACTGGTCTAGGGGGTAGGCTCCAGTTAATCTCAATATAATGTAGGTTTGCCTTAAAATTTGTCAAGGTTCCTAGCCATTTTCCTTCATGCATATGGTATTCTACATTCCATAACCCATCTGGTGTAATTAAATTCTTATAATTTTTTATTAATTGTTCATATTTAGGTGTATTGGGTAAGTGGACTAAGGCCAGTAAGATGATCCACGGTTCTTCACCCATAAATTTCATATTTCTGTTTCTTTTGACATCAACAGCATGCCAAACAATGTCTGTTATAAAATCACGTGCAGATATAACGCCCGATTTTACTAGCTTTTAATCAAAGAAATGTCTTCTAACAGTTTCCATCATCTTGGATAACATAAACTATTTAAGTAAGCGATTCAAATTTCCTCAAAGATAAATCCAAAATAAATACCAATGTAACTTGAAATTCCATAAACACACAAACGACTAAACGACCCTATACTTAGACTAATGCACACAAGTTGTTTCCAAAATCAAATAATTTCAATTCATTTTGTTTTTAAAAATAATAATGTACTCGATTCATGATATTAAAAATAATAGCGTCGAGGCGAGCCTTTCCTAGAAAGAGAGTCGTACCTATTATAAGCCTCCGAAGAGAACCCGAGAATCCTATTCTCAATCATCTTTCCAAATAAGAAAATAGTTTTTCTTTTAGGAAATAGTTTTACTTTCAAAGAATGCGAAACTCTATCTATCCTATATGCCCATCCTAAGTCTACCAACATATTTTATTTCTCAATTTTAATCTTTCTTAGAACCTGGCTCTAATACCACTTTGTAACACCCCCAAATCTTCCTCAACGTAAATACTATATTTATACGTATAAAATATTGTAGAGGTAGACTTGGGCGTATTACCGCCACGTGAAATCGTAAGGCTTTTTAGCTACCAGTAATGACAGCGGAAAAATAATTTACTTTATTAATAATGTAATAACTACATTAATTATATAGTTTGAAAAAGAAATAGTACTCCAAATAATACATGTCTGACTCGTAAATGAATAAACTCCTAACTAAGTGATCCCAATCCCGACTCAAGTATGCGCACGATCAACTTCAATTCACACCTGAAATCAAAACTGCTTACCAATAATGGTACACAAGGAGAACCAAAACAAAAAGGAAAACGGGTTAGCAAAAACGCTAAGTACATATAAGTGCAAGGCATATAAATGCTTTTATTAGACAAACATGCTTTCGAAATAATTATTCCAATTCAAACTTGCCAAAAGTCACTTTCCAAAATTAGACTTTTTAAATTTAAATCTTCCAAAAGTAGTGACGTCCATTAGTAGAAACTTTCCCAAACCAATAGAATTCCAATTTTAGACGAGTTTCCAAAATCAATTTTCCTCACCTAAGTGTGCACACCCCCCAAGCAAGTTAAACTGTATTCGAGGAAAAACCAGATCATACAAAGCTCATGGTCTTACTTAACCAATATCGAGAAGAGGGATAATAAAATATTAAATACACAGGCCCATAATGAGCTGCAAATTTTAAATAAATTTCTTTAATTCAATAACATGAAATCAAATGATTTATAAACAACTTTTATTAAATTAAACAACACTTTTAAAGATCAAACCTTTAAGTCAATAAAATTATATTTTTAACTCATCGTAATATTTAGCAATTATTGAAATAAAACACGCATTCAATACTTTGTATCAGGGACCTAGCCACCTATATGTACCTTGATCACGAGAACATATTAAGGTACGACTACTATGCTTGACCACGATAAAGGAAATCCTCTTACACAATAAAATAACCTTAATTAATATAAGGTTTAAAATAAACCCAAACTATAATTAATACTCTACTAGTGCATAAACTACCTAAATACTAACCTTTGTTTATTTTTAAACCACAAATTATGTTAGTATTAAAATAGTGCTACTAGTAAGAAGGTTGCAACGTCAGTATCAAAATAATACACGTGCCTTTCTTAAAAGAATGACTTTAATATAATAGTATAAGTAATAATAATCATGGAAATCATTAAGTTTTGTAAGCTTGTGGCAACAAAAAAAGGGTGAAAAGAAGGAAGTGCTACTGCACCTGTGGCAGCAGGTTACGACAACAAACCCCTACAATCGGTGGGTGGCAATTGGTGGCAGAAAAAGGTGGCGGCAATGGTGTTTGTAGGTGGCGGCAGAGGTGGTTGTTTGGTGGCAGCAAGGAGGAAAGAAGGAGCAAGAAGTGAAGGAAGAGGAAAGGAAATGGGGGGCGTGTATTAGTGATTGAATTAAGAGGAGAAATTTCTGATTTTTGGTGTGAGTAATTGAGGAGTATTAAAGGTCTATTTATAGGTGATAAAGGGTGAAGAAGATAGAGTTCAAGAGGGTGTAGGATTGGTATGAAAACAAGATAAATTTGGGTTATTTAAATGAATTTGGATGTAATTTTGCCTAAGTTAATTTATCTGAAAAATCAAGTGAAAAAGATGAGAAGAAAATAGGATTAACATTGATTTGGTTGGAGGAGTAAGGATAGAAATCAAAGAAACCTTGAAGGTTGAAAAATGCCATCCCAAAACATACGGTCAACAAGGATTTTTTTTTTTTTTTTTTTTTATTATTATTAAAAACAAAAATCATATTTAAATGGATAAAATAGTTGAATTTGATATTTAAATCAAGTTATTATACAAATATATAAATATTTTAGATAATATCAAAACTAAAATTTGTTAAAAATCATAATTTATATTAGGTATTATCTTTAAAACTCTTGAAATTTCTAAAAATATGGATTGACCTTTAAAAGATAATTAAACCAATATTATTAATTTAGATATCAGAAAATAATTAATTATTCAATTGATTAAATACTTATATTTGGCGCCAAAATTTAATATTCATTTTGGCTCCAAATTAAATAATTCAAGAAATTATTAAAATATTTTTTCCTAAAATTCGGGGTATTGCACAGATGCCGAGACCTATTACCCCTTGCTCGAAAGAGTTGCATATGCATTGGTGGTAGCAGCTCGGAAATTAAGGTCCTATTTTGACTTTCATCAAATAGTGGTCTTGACCGATGAACCGTTGGAAAAAGTACTCAGCAAAGTTGAAAAATCTGGCAGACTAATGAAGTGGGCTTTCGAGCTTACTGAGTTCAGCATAAACTACCAGCCGAGGGCAGCTATCAAGGCCCAAACCTTAGCAGACTTCCTAGCCGAGTATGCACTCAAATTTCCGTTCAAAGCTTCCAACAACGAAGTTGAATACGAGGCAGCAATTGCTGGCCTAGAGTTGTGCATAGCCCTAGAAGCCGAACATGTCTATTTAAAAACAGACTCTCAGCTCGTCGCAAATCAGATCCGAGGTGAATATGAGGCCAAAGAGCCCTCAATGATCTCTTACCTCGCTAAGATCAAAACAGTTATAGCGAATATGAGAACTTTTGAAATTGAACTGATCCCAAGGGGTCAAAACGCTCAAGCCGATGCACTCTCCAAACTTGTAAGTTCATCTCTTACTGAGCTGAACCGATCTGTATATGTGGAGGTGCGCCGAGAAAGAATCATCGACTAGGAACCCAAGGTTCTTTGTGTCGCAAATGAACCGAGCTGGAGGGACCATATCCTTGCTTACAAGCTTCAAGGGGAGCTCTCCGAAGACAGAATCCTTGCCTCAAAACTAAAAAGAATCGGCTCAAGGTTCATAGTCTACAACGGGGAACTTCAGAAAATTTCCTTCTCAGCCCCACTGCTGAAATGTGTGGGTCCAACAGATGCAGATTACATCCTTCGGGAAATTCACTTTGGCATCTGCGGAAACCGCATAGGGGGAAGGACCCTAGCCCATAAGGCACTAAGGGCAGGGTATTCTAAGCCAACCATAATTCTTTACGCCAAGGAGTTAGTGAGAAAATGTGAGAAATGCCAAAAGTTTGCATCAGTCATTCATCGGTCGTCACGGGACCTTCAGCCAATCCTAAATCCCCTTCCCTTTGCTCAATGGGGACTGGATATTTTAGGGCCTTTTCCTGAAGTTGTTTGATAGTCGGCATTGACTATTTCAGCAAATGTGAGAAAAAATGGTTGATAGTCGGCATTGACTATTTCAGCAAAATGGATCGAAGCCGAAGCAGCTTCGAACATAACTGAGAAAACAGTAAGGAAATTCATCTGGCAGAATATCATCACTCGCTTCGGCATCCCGAAGGTGTTTGTCTTCGATCATGGAAGGTAATTCGATAATCTGCTGCTGAGGCAGTACACTAATAAGTTCGAAATAAAGTTGGCGTATTCGGCAGTTTACCAGCCCCAAAGTAATGGCCAAGCCGAAGCCGCAAATAAGCAAATACTCAACGCTCTCAAGAAGAGAGTTGAAGA